AATGCGATCTACGGGGTGTCCCGTAACACTTTTCACAATTTTTTAAGTATTTGCGATAATCTGAAAAAAATGTTTTCAACAAAAGTTGGTTTTCGACTGGCTGTATATTGCAATAAAAAAAATTTCAAAAAAATTTTTTTTTTCAGTAATTATTAAAGCCACCTTCGTTTTTTTTTATAGCACTTTATATTTTTGACTTAATAGTATTGTAGCTCGTATCTATACGAATTCAACGACATAGTATATCTTGAAGACAAAGAAATGAAAATTTCAACAAAAAATGACAATCAGCATAACAATAAGTTGTGTCTATTATTAAGGCTCGAAATTACATTCAATTCAGGAACCTTGAGTAATTAAACGGAAACGATTTCGTGAAAAATTCACAACAAATTTTCGAATTGAAATCCATTTTGCTGTAGACACAATTCCGCTTTATGTAGTAAGTTTGTACAGGTTACTCTTACGATAATATCGTAACGAACTTCGCATATTGTAATATGTAATATGAGGCTATGTAATATGTATATGTATATATATATTTAATATTACAGCATATAAATTGGCATAATTAATTTCCACAATTAAACTTTTCTTAATTCACCAATCCATCACGACACATCATTTAGATAACCATTCCTCCTTAATCATATCACTAGCTTTCTCCGCGATCATAATAGTAGGCGCGTTCGTATTTTCTTTAACAATCTTTGGCATAATCGAGGCATCTACAACCCTCAAACCTTCGATTCCATAAACCTTCAACCTTTCATCCACCACAGCGTCAGGATCCGAGTTGGTCCCAGTTTGCAAGTTCTAAATGAAAGATAGTCGTTGTGTACTCCATCATCACACATTTCCAATAATCTCTAGTACCAAACTCAAATTGTCTACAAGAGGGCAAAGATTTATCAACCAATCTAAAATCATATTTCTTGAACGATTCTGTATCAAACAATTTTAAAGCTATTTTCACACTTTCCACTAACAAGTCCAAATCTGGATTACTGGTAAAATATCTAGGATAAATTAAGGGTGCTCCCCACAAAGGATCACTCCCATTCAATAATATAAATCCTCTGCTTTTAGGCGATAATAAAAATGGTAGAATAGAAATAGCATTGTAGTAAAAGAATGGTTCAACATCTCTCTCAAAAGATTCTACTGCATCATATAAAATATCTTCTTTGTTAGTTCCAGGGAACAACATTTGTATATCTGGAACTCCATTTATGTGCTGCAATGTTGTTTGCAAAAAAACAGAGCAAGAAGTACAGCCAATTCCAGATAATGGTCCCCTGCGTCTTTGTATAGTAGAATATATCTTCCTCCTTGTTGGAATTATTTTTACTTGTAGAAGTAGAATTCAATGAAACTATTAGACCGAAAAACGATACATGAAGATTCTTTCCAACTGATAAATCACTAATTACTTTAATACCATGTTTCTTTAATTCTTCTCCTGGTCCAACTCCAGAGAGCATAAGGATTTTCAGAGAATTAATGGATCCAGCTGAGAGAATCACCTCTTTTTTAGCAAAAATTGTGTTTAATTTAGTTTGGTTGTTTTCTGAAGTATATTCGACGCCTGTTACACGTTTTGTATTGTGGTCTACAATCAATTTCGTAACGCATGATTCAGTTTTGATGGTTAGATTCTTGCGTTTGCGTGTGATAGGTCGTATGAAAGCATTATTTGTGCTTTGACGTGTTCCATTATCGGAGGTTACCTGTAAGTTCATGACACCGAGTTGATGGTTTGCGTTTACATCCACGACTTTGTAACCTAGTTCTTGCCACGCATTCAGCAAGATCTCGGTATTAATATCGATATATGGTAATCTTTGTACCGATTGGTAACCATGTTGGTTATGATAGAGTGGATTGTCCTTCACTATTTGAAAAAAATGAGAATAGTTAATAACTTTAGACGAATTTTAATTGTGTTTAATTTCTTGTGTTTGATGTAGTTTCTGTTTTAATATAAATTTTGTGTGTTATGAATTGATCATTACTAAAACGAATTATTCGTTTTTTTGATAGATAGTATTTAGAAGAAACCTATTCGAAAACTTATATTTAATACATATCTTTGATGTATTTATAGTAGATGTAAATTGTAGGTAAATCTGCTAAAATATTTACAATGGTAAAGATTAACTTAAATTCGTTCTAATTAATCGAAAATTTAGTTTGATCAGCATTAGGACAGTATATAATAATGATATATATATATATATATATATATATATATATATATATATATATATATATAGTGTATATATGTTGCAAGACTTCATAAAATTAAAGTCAGAATATCTGAAATTTTTTACTATAAATAAGTCAGTATCATTTTACAGAGCAAGATCAGATCATCACTTGATATAAAACAAATATTACGCGATTTTATGTAAAAAAATTCATCAATATTCATATTTCCTTCACGCGTCCATCTAAAAACAAACCAATTATACTAAATTATTCCTCGAAAGTGATCACATTGAATGTGAAACATTTTTCGAGTAACAGTTATCAGGATAATTACATTTACAGATTCTTACCCTGTATAGAGCATAAAACTTATTCTGACTGTAATTAAAATAATAATAAGGATACATTGTATGGAGTTTAATCTTATGGGAGTTAATGACAAATTTTAATTAAATTTGTTACCTGTGGATCCCTATTATTTTCTGATTTCAAAAAGTAAGGTAAAACTTCTTCATAGCTCCAGCCATGATTTCCTGCATCTGCCCACCCGTCATAATCTTTTGCATTACCACGAACATATATCATGTAATTGATAGTACTGGAACCACCCATCACCTGTAAGTATAATAATAAATTTTTAATACTAGACCTACTTCGAATAGTGCTAGATTCGTTATAAATTTCACGAATATAACTATAAATATATACATGATATTTCGAGACATTTTGTATAATATAATACATAAACATAAACTCTTCGATAATTTATGTTTCAGTACATTTGTCATTATAATCACCTATGTTATACTAATTGTTTACAAATAAATGGAAACTTTAAACTTTCTGTTTATTCTTGACAAGTCAGCGTCTCGTATGAAGTTATAGAATGTTAAAGTATCGAAATATGTGTCTACGTACTTTACCCCTTGGCATCGCACAACCTCCATTTATTCTGGATCGACAAGAATGCTGCTCCGGTTGCATGCGATACATCCAATCGATATTGCTTCCTGATAACATATAGAGGCGAAAGCCGGAATATCAGCTACCTCTGGTTCTTCTATACCAGCTTCCAATAATAATACCTAAAAATATAAATCAAAGTATTCAAAGTATTTAAAATATTTAAACTAACTCATCACAAATTGTTAGCATTTGAATTGACATATTGTTTGAAAACTTTTGGAAATGATTGTAGATGGAACAGAATTCACTATTTGAGAAAGCAAAACTAATCCTTATTCCTGAACAAGAATCATCTATGATCTGTTTCTCAGTAAGTTTTAAGCGATAATTTCTGCGAAATCTGAAAATCTGAGTAGGCGTTGCAAGTTGAGATCAGGATGACAGAAATGGGTCAATAATTTTTTTCAGTAGATTCCTAAAAGAGGAAAAGAGAAATGTGAATTTTCGTGACCATTAATATCATGGAACGTATCATACTACAAAATGCACTTATTGTATTATCTGACGTTGGAAACAACAAAATATCGTTGAGTAACAATAGTTTTAGCAGATATTCCGTATCTAGCTTTGACTTTCTTCAGTTACTACATAATTTTAACAACACAAGTCGGCCTGCACGTTAATAATAACAGATATATTTAATTTGAAGAATACCTTCCAATGACACATCCGGCTGATCCAGCCCCCACAATAATGAAATCATACACTTCCTCTGAAAAATTCGTTTTATATAAAATATAATTTTAGTTATAAAGTGTGGAACTATATATGTAATTATGTAACCGTATATATAATTAGTAATAATATTGAATATATTTGAAAATTGTTTTAAAATTATTATACAAAATCACACATAACATAATTACATACTTTTCATTCACGATTCAACGTTACATAATTTGAAATCCCACTTTTAAATAATTAGTCACAAAATGTACATGCGATATATTATATTGATTGACACTTTTCCTTTTCGACAGATTCGTGAAGAGAAAATTTTTCGTCTGATAAATTCTCTAATATTGGATTAAGCACAATGGCTCTTATATAACGCTTTTATTTACAAAATTTAATGATGAAAGTAATATGATTCAGCAACAGTAATAGATCTCTGATAGTTCTAGTAAAGTACATGTTCAATGCAAGAACTTATACAGTTGCTCGAAATATAATATAGTTTTTGCATTTTTCAATGAAGCATACAATTATTCTCGTACACTTTCTTGACAGATGAGAATGTTGTAAAAATTGTATATCACTTTGAAATATGAGTAATTAAAATTTAAATATACAGGATACCGCGAGGTTTGGTATATTAATTCTATCATTGTGTCCTGCAGGTAAAAATAAGACTAAAATATCATTTTGCAAAAAGTCCACAAATGTTTCATTAATATGTTGTAAAACGGAATAATAAACGTAAAGCCATGTTTGCATTTTAAAATGTCAGATTCCACTAACAATACAAAAGTAATATCGAATCTCATATAAATTTAGTCGAACTTCTTTATACGCAGCTTTGATCAATTTGATTATATCGAACATTTCACTGCTGGATATTTTTACTACTGAAGGTAATGATTATATTTTGTACGTAGAAATCGGAAGATGTAAGATCCACTGATGTCCGTGGTCTAGGAGACCAAGAGATTCTTCTCTGCTAATCAATTTTTGAAATTGTACGTAATGATAGCATTTCCCATATTTCATTTCTTTATTATAACTATTTAATGTATGATTTATGGGTTTTTGACTCAACATTTTAGTCTTAATTTTATCTGTATTTGTCTGTATTAAAATTGGATTATTACGTCCGTATTTACCTATATTTTTATTTGGATACGAGACTTCAGGATGACCAAAGAGACTAGCGACCAGTGTGAGAAACATAAAGGTAGGTGGTTGACAACTGGAATTAGGTGGGCAGAGATTTGCTAAATTTGCAGATACCCACGACATCCTTTGATCTCAGATTATGATTCTTCTTGGTCACCTGGAATTTTTGGTCTTCTAGATGGTTTATTGAATTATTGAGAAAAATTATACTTAAATAGTTAAATATTATATATATGTATATGTACGCGTTATATTTCCGATTTAACGTTGTAAATGCTAGAATATCTGAGAAAGCATGAAAAATATGAAAAAATATTTTAGTAAAATATCAAGGAATACACGTCACAGAATGCTCTTACCCGTTTGTCTTTACAATGATTTTGAAACGAGTAGTGAACGTCACATTAAAATTTTAAAGTGGATTGTGTCATCCTCGATTACATATTCTTACAACTGACATACTTATTTTTCTATCGCACACACTCATCTTTTATTACATTTTCGTCAAGCGTCATCTAATTGGCAGATACTAACCGATGTAAATGACATAATGAACGCTTTAACATCTAAATTTGCCAATAATTTCAGTGATCTCAAATATTTTCAAGAATTCAGAAAAGTTAAAAACAGAATAAAGTTCACTATATGACATCCTCCCATTACCCCGCTGAGGAACCACAATTTTCATGAATACATAATAGTGTTAAAATATGTTAAAATTTCTAGACCTGGACCTGATAGAATACCCAATGTCTTACTTTTGCACTTCTCAATCTATAACTGAACTAATGTTACGCTCAAAGAACTTTTGCGGATACTTGAAAAATTGTTGATTATTTATCGCACAGATCAAATAGAAACGAAAAAATTTCTTCGCACAAAAATGAAATTTTGACTATTTTCAATACAAGGATAATAAATTATTCGTTGCTCGTTCAAATGCTGTTTTAAGTTTAGATGAAAATGCAATGATGAATTAAAATGTAGAATTAACGCATAGTATATCATATTATGTATTTAAGACTCCAAAACATTTTTCAAAAATGTTTTAATTGAGTTCTTACGGAACATCTGGATCAATAGTATTCAGAATAAACTACGTGAGGTCTAGAAGAGTAATGTTGCTTCTGATCAGAATAGAACAAATGACAATAACGCGTAATGGCAGATTTTGCATTACGACAGATAAGCTATCAGGATGCGAATTCAACGATGCATTTCTATTCATTGAACTATTTAAATTATTAGAAAATGTATATATTAATAATTGATTTTTATATTAAAAATTTATATTAAAGTTATATTTATATTATATTTATAAATTATATTTATATTATATTTATAAATTATATTTATATTATATTTATAAATTATATTTATATTATATTTAATATAAATATAAATTACATTTATATTAAAATTATTTAAGTATTAATAAATTATTTAATTTATATTAAAATTTATATTAATTATTACTACTGGACAAATGGAGTACGAACAAAAGATTTAATTATTAGTACTAGATTAGAGAAGATTAGTATAGGAAGCTGAACGTTTAGTACTAAAATTACTCGGAACTGAAATCCCTTGGAAATAAAAACATTAAGACTGGTTGTAGCCACTACTCTCACTGAAAGTGCTCTAATCGCTAAATAACAGGATTTCATATACATACTAGTGCATACTGTCTAAATTCGCATGATGAGCCCAAAGCCCAAAGGATTGGGATGTATGGAATTTTAGGGATGTATGGATATGATTGGTACATGGAACAAATGCATAGAACGTTTACCATTTCGAGTAATGCGGCTCTGTTTATGGCAAAAGTATTGGATACGAAATCTATATACGTTAGATAGAACTTTGTATTTAATTGTTAAGTGCCTCTGAAACGTCAGAATGCCTGACATCACAACGATATTATGAATGAAATATGCAATTTTCCACAAAATCTGATATTCCGACTTTATTGATGAACGCTTGTAACATTATTGTTAACGTGATTACTATAAAATAAATGAAACAAGTAAATAGACTTACGATAGGTATATTTCTATGTACAGCCTTTGGTCACTTGCAATTTTCAAATTTTTCACGTTCCTGGTAAATTAATTACAATATAAGAAAATCTATATTTTTATATTAAAAATCAATGAAATTATTTAATTAGTATAATAAAATTTAATTCAACAGCGCAAATATACGATATACATTATATTTGTACGTACATAAAGTATCGATTCAAGTGAAAAGTAAAATTTTATCGTGCTTTGTTTTATAGTTACATGATACGTGAGTAGTAAAAACTACGTATTAATAACATATAATTTGTTCAATATGAATATCAGATACTAGTAATGATAGTCTAAAAACCAAAGTCACAGATAGATAGGTAAAATTTATGGAAATCAAACGACTCTTGCTCTCCGATAATTTTTGCACGTATTGTAGATATCGATATTTTATATTATTTTTATCGATATTTTAGTCGCTAATCTTAGTCTAGTTTTCCAAAATATTCGCAAAAATCTACCGATACTTAAAATTCTGCTCATTTGTATGCATCTGTGAGATACTTTTCGAGTATAACTCGCACATTAGTCATCGTTCTCATTATTATTGTCATATGCTACAAATTTAAACTGATGACTTCCATGAAAATTGCAGTTGCATTTGCTGATTGTTCGTGATGTTGGTACGTTGCAGAATAGAAAATGACTTTTTTTTTTAAATTCCGTCGAAAAATTTCACCGCTGGATAAGGATATTAACTCAAATTCAAGACATTAATAACATTTGTTGTTAATTGAGTTACTTGTTTGATGTAATATCGCTTGTGCACGCTGTCTTAACGAAGCTTGAAAATTTTTTAGCGTGATCTGTTGTTTAAGGTTACGCGGACTTTTATATGTCATAAGCTAAAGATAAGAATTCAATTTAAATTAGTTTATTATATCCAACCGACATATCGTGACAGATAATTATCATTATATATTACATATATAGGTATTACAATTGTAGACTATTCATTGTAGTTTTTCGCGAATATCAAAAGTAAAAAATACCAAAAATTTGTGTGTTATAAATACCACAAAGTTTGTGTGTTATAAATACCACATCTGTGTTCACCTTGGTCTTGACACACGTATACTTGATAAATATTCAAATTTGATTTTCTGAAAAACGAAAAAAAACTTTCCTGACGAATAGAACAAAATCCTTTCAGAATGCACTTCAGCAAGTATGTTTTGAATAAGAAATTTGAAACCTTTGTCTCTTGAAATACTTTGTTAGGAATTCGTCACGCTGTCTTCAAGGAGGAAAAGTCCGAGAAAATCAGAGAAAGTTATACATACGTTATTATTTTTACGTTAAGAAGCTACCGTGTAAAAAATCTATCTTGTTCTCTCTCTAATAAATTCTGTAAATGTAAAGTAAATGTAAATGTAATTGTAAAGCATAAGTTTTCCTCCAATCCCTTGATCTGCAAAAATATAATTACATAATGTGCCCCTCTGTACCAAATTTGTAATACGTTTATTTTTACACATATACGTTTGTTTTTTCATTAAATCTTTATGAAATATTAAATATGAAATAAATTAAGGTGCGGAAACATGAGACAGGAGAATAGGTACTAGGAAGAGGAAGAGAAGAGGAAATGTGACTTGTGCAATGAAGCACCAGGAACAATCAAACACCTGGTGAGAGACTGCAGAGAAAAGAAAGGAGGGGTAGAGGAAGAGGAAGTGGTTAGCGGCAGGAAAGATGAGATAGTAAGATGGCTGGAGATGGTAAGGAAAAAGAGGGAACTGGCAAGAGAGAGAGAAGGCAATAAGAAGATATACACCAAAGAGAAAAGTGTAAAAAGAAAATCAGGAAAAATTAAAACCAAAGCAGATAAATAAGAAAATAGAAAATAAGTTTAAAAATAAGTTTATGTAAAATTTAAAAATAATCAAAGTAATATAGTTTTTTAATACAGCGTTGCAAAATAGTATTGAAATGAATGAGAGAAACGAGTGGGTGAGGAAAGAGGAAAATATGTACAGCAAGTCCACATTTCATGGCTCTGAGGCCGAAATAAAGTTTATTACTACTATTAAATAAATTTAAAAAAATAGTTCTGTTATTATCATAATATTGATAGGCGAAGTAGTTTATAGAAAAATTTCGAATAATATTTTGATTAATAAGAGTAATTTTACTCTTGAACGAATTATAAAATTTATGTTGTTTGTCATAACCAATACACTGCACATTTATAATAAAATTGTTAAAAATTTAACATAAATTTGAATGTTTGAATAATATATATATTTAAATAATATAATATATAATTTAAATATATAAATGAGGAAATATAATAATTTTAATATTTTAATGATAGTTTAAAATAATTGGAAATTTAGTTAGTTAAAAATTATTCCTAAGAATGTTTAATAAAATATAAATCATTTATACATAAAACTACGCATTAATAATTTTAAAATTTTAATTTACTATATAAGAAAAATCATCATAAATCCGTAAAATATGGATAGAACTCTTCCTGATATATGTAGCAAAATGATTTTGGTTACTTACTAGCTTCGCATTTCAGTTTTAAATGTTTGGCCACTGTAAATGGGTTTCAAGCATTCACTAGTTTCCTAACTCACCGTTATTTGAACGTAGAGCGCGCTAAAAGAAAAAATCAATGATTTTTTACTATATCTGTATTTCAGATCGCGAAGTCCCGTAAGATGCAATATTTATTCATATACCTCATCTGTACTCGCAGCATCAGAACTACTGGGATGGGTGTCACTCTCCGGATTCGCCTAGAGACCTCTGGAGCAGGTCGTCTCCATCAGTACCACCGATAAATCTGACTGGCAACTTCAAAACGAAATACAACACACTCCTTAAATCCCAAATTTTCTCTTCCGATACGGTGCCTCTCCTTCACATTCTTGTGGAGCATACTTTTCTCTCTCAGCTCCACCTGGGATGTTGACAGTAACAAGCGAAGAGGAGTTTGGTAGGGCATACTATTACCATTGGTCGCCTCGGCATTGAACGAAATGATGTATTCCTACTGCGAGACTGATAGTCAAGATTGCCACAGAATGACAATGAAAGCTCCTGGAGTATGTTCAACAAATATTTGGCATAAACAAAAGTGCGATTGATTGAAGACATGA